GTGGTCAGTTTGGAACATCTGTCCGATGATTCAATTCTCAAGACCAGCGTAGGCAAATTAACCATAACAGTCTTCAAAGGCATTGCCTACTACCCCAAATATACTGAACTAAATATACTGAACTAGTGCTTGCCCGCGAACTCTCGATGTTGCTAGTTACTCAGCTTAGGCTATGGGAGCGGGATTTACTTGCCCTTGCCAATCAGCTGAGGGCCGGAAAACCATGACTCAGGCAGTTCGCAGCGTACACAGTTGTCATTTTTTGCAAGCATTTCGACCTAATCGAAATCGAATGCGTGACCCGATCTTGTCCAATCAGCCAGGGATTTGCAGACGCTGTCGTTCTCGTCCTTGTCCATTCGTGTTCAATCATCCACATCCTAAATATCTATCCAGTATTTCCGACATGGTTGTTTTGCCCATAACTGCGTTAGACTCCAAACGTTTCCTGTCATGGCAGGCGGTCTATCATTCTCCTGACCTGGTGCCTGATGGTTCCGACCTTTGTGCGACCGCAAGCCTAAATGTGTATAATAATGTAATAAGCGACATGTGGGAATGCTTGCCAACTTTTCTGTTTGTTAGCATGTCTAGTTTGGACCTGCATCGCTTGATGAAGTTGCGTGGATAAACATTCTTTCTAAGCACATGTCAAAGTAAGTGTACTTCGACAAATTCGTCTTCTCCTTCCCTGCAATTTTTCTTAAAACGTTTGTTTAGTACCCTCCATAACTGCGTTTGTGGGTGAGTTAGTGGTTGCTGTTGAGGCGCACCACTTAGGTCTTATTTGTCGCTTCCTCGGAGACTTCGATATCCAGGGTACCACAGTATTGGCGGTAGATGAGAATATCAAGTAGGGCAACTGGTGGGCTTTTCCATCCAATAGGGTAAATTTTACGCTCCTGAAGATGGCGTTAAAACTTTATCTGAACGTCAGCATCTAAATTTGTTCAATGTCCCCATACTGAATCCAGAAGTTTGTTCCGAGTTGTTTGAAGACAATTTATGGACACCTTGGACTATATGCCTCGAAATTGGTGAATCCTTCGGTGCGTTTCTTCTCTGCTCGTGGAGCTTCCTGCTAAACATTAAGTAGATCCTCGGGCAGAACGTCAGGCCTTGTAGGGTGTACGTATGTGCAGAGCAATCCTCTCTTTAATTATATCTGTTTGCCGTGTGGGATACGGTTGTCGTGACTGTCATCTACCGGTAAGGAACAGGTACGTGCTCTCAAAATATAGGTCACCCTTTAAGGTTTTGCAATAATTGCGTTATCCAATAGTTTCGTGGTCCGAAATGGCAGTCAAAAAATTGAGCCATCACAATGCGGCCATCTTGCTAGCCTGCAAAGTGAAAGTCCTTTGAGTGATATGATGGCCATGGAATTGAGCCAAAGACGTGCTTTGGGTTTTCGGTATGCGACATTCGACTGGTGATATTATATCCGACTTCTCTATTGCCAATTACGCCGCATTAATGTGCTGTGTAGTGAAATGGACATGGCACATTCTGTATTTAGGTTAACCTTTTTAGAAAAAGATGTTTTTGCTTATAAAAGTAGTTTAGTTGCTTGAAATTGACTCTACTTGACTTCTTGATCCAGGGACTGCATCTGCTTTTTTCGAACTGTTTTTTGGAACTCCATCTTCGCTTTCTTCAGACAATTCATTACGCCAAAATTGAGAGCATATTCAGATTTGAGAAGCATAGATGGAAGAAAATAATTTAATGCGAAATGATTTGCTGTATTGTCAATAAGTGTTTACAGACTGCTGTATGTACGAAAAATATGCCAAATTCTCACTGGCATTTCAAAATGATATAATTAACAGAGTCTTATTTAGTCAGCAGAAGGGAGACTGGTTTTATTTTCGGCATATTAGAGCATTTTATCTTTCAGTGATTTCCAGCGATACTGGTGACTTCCATGGGAAATACAAGGTCTTTCCACTTAAGCATAGTTTAATTACTACTTATGTCTCCGTGTTTTGGATGTCAAAGTACCAATTCAGATGTCAAATGACTATCGTTTATTTTTAGTGCTGGCTCAAGAGCGTGGGGTCGTGATTATTGCGACCTTATTGTCAAGCCTTAATCGTATTGTTGCAGAAAAAGATTTTGACTTGAAATATTGCTGTGACTGCATAATTTTGCCAGCAAGTGTTAAGCAATAATTAGGAGAAACATGGGTATTCAAAATAGGAAAGAGCAGGATAATTTAGAAACGCCCGACCATCTACACGACATTCGAACTGCTGATATAGCTTAAGCTACTAACAGCATAGAAACTTAAGGACGATAATATTGCATTCATCAGTAAATTCTTATGTGTAATGTTGTAAAATACTGATGGTGGAAAACTGTACTATTTGCCTTCTCCTACAGATTATTTTCTCGGTGAAAGCGGAGGTTGGCAACCCTGCGATGGGTGACTTCAGAATCAATTCCGATGGTCGGATTTTCGTTGCAAGAGGAAGTTTGGATCGAGAGGCAATCAGCACGTACACATTCACGGTGATTGCTACTGACACTGGAAATCCTCCCTTATCTTCGACGGCTCAGGTAAAAGACCTTTCAGGGCTTTGTAGCCGTATTTATATATGCTGTTAGCTATAGGATGTTTTAAAGGCAACTGAGTAAACTGTATCACATGTGTTTTGATCACTTATAACTCAAGTGTCCGTAATTTATGGTAAAGATGAATAAAGCTGGATGACAGTAGGTTTATTTTCGTCCTAGAAAAACTGAATTTTTATTTCCTATTAGATAGAAAGGCCGCCAATTAATCTGCACCCTCTTATTAAGCCATATTGGATGTAGCGTAAAGTCGACAATCGTGGAAACAGCATTTTTAGTTCCAAAATTTGAATAAAAACACTGTTCTTCAAACGCAGTTACCTCCCTGAAAAGTTGGATGCGCCTCCTGCAACAACCTTTGGAGAACTATACAAATCGCAGTCTACGAAGTCAGAACAAAAAGTTACATAATCACTTCATGGAGGGTTTTGATGCCATAATGGCCGCTTCTTGTGTATTATCCATTCTTAAATAAAGCAAGTATTCAAAACTGAAGTATTTGATGATCGCTTCGACGTGTTACATACACAATTATATGAAATCTGCTAGGATAACCCGCGGTAATTATGAGTTGTATAACTGCCAAACAGGACACAGGATAAGAAACCCCAACGCTCACTTAAAATAGGTGCTCCTTCAAGAAAATTCAGAAAGGGTGAATATTCCCGTCTCTTGATTCTAACGCTAACCCTAAGATGAAGCTAAACTGTAAAACTCATCTTCCCCTTCCCCCCTGCGCTAAACCTGAACTCTACAGTTTACACAAACACAAACCTTGACTTTTAGGGGTTTGGCAGATTTCAATAATTCTATTCACCCAATTGTGAAAAATTCGCGGCCTCGGTGGAAGTCAAACCCACACAGCAGGGAAGGCTTCTACGCAGCCAACGCCCTTCCGTTGAGCTACGAGTCTCACCGTGCGCCGTGAATTTAATCACAGTTGGGTCGATTTGTTTGCCCAGCTTAACTGGATCCTAGAGTATTACTTAGGAACTCCTGCCTTGTAGTCAGCTTACTGTGTCTAAAGTGGTGGATTCAATACGGGCAGTAAAGCTAGGCAAGCAAGTCTACCCAAGTGTAATTCAATTCACAGCACACGGTGAGCCTCGTATCTTAATGGTAGAGCGTTGGCTGCATAAAAGTCTTCCCTGCTGTGTAGGTTTGGCTCCGATCGAGGCCGCGAATTTTTCACAATTGGGCCAACCAAACAAACCTTGATCCTTAATTTCATCCTATTTGGGGAAGAGTGATGCCCCACTATGCAGGCAGCCTGTCCTGGGTTCAAGGAATGCTGGCGTTTGAATTAAAGATGTGATTGATGTGAAGGTTACAGTTAGGGTAACGATAAATGGTAGAGTAAAAGTTAAGATCAGAATTGCAGTTCAGGATTCTTTAGGCTTATTTGTGGCGTGGTACGCAAGAATGGACACCCTTACAGAATCCTTTGGCAATACCATCTGTTGTACGGTGGCTACTCTGTGTTATCCGGTCGGGAGGCTACAAAAACTATTCCCGTACACTGATCTGGAGTTTATTGATCTCTCCAACTGCAAAACCAAAATGTGCATTTAACGCAAACTTATTTGATGAGAAATTGCTCCTATTCACAATAAACTTCCTGCTATGAACTTGAGGTACACTTGGCTGATGATAACAATCAAACCGCAAGTACTGTTCTGCTTGGCTTATTATCAAATAATTTAGGCTTTGATAGGATTGCTAGGTTGTGTGCTGCAGCTATTGCCCTTAGGACCGGTTTACGAAGGGAACATTACATGCTGGGATGACAGGTGATATGCATAGAATACAAAATTCCTTTTCGGTCAGTTTTTTAAAAGAACAGCTAGTGGCAAGTCTTCTTCGTCATTTTTATTTCCATTACGCAGAAGTATGACAGTTGGCAGAGCATTTGAACTGCCAAACCGGAAATGCTGAAAAGTCGAAAATGTTTAAAATTACTAATGTAGACATTTTACCTGCATGTATGCGTACTTGGCGTAATGAAATACACTGCTGTGCATACAGGTACTACAAAAACATTCGAAAAATGTTATTCAGCTAGAATTGTGATGAATGTCATGCTGTTTCTTCTAAAATATAGATAATAACAGATCCAAATTGGTTGTTGTCATAACGTGTTTACTTATAGCAAAAGATTACTCCTTTGCTCAGAAGCTGGGTTACGAAAAATTAGGAAGGTTTTGCTGATGACTGGCTGAGAATACGAAATGAAAGTAGACGGGCGTGTTATCTCTGGATCCTTGCAATGCTGGGCATATGCAGCAACACTAGTATTCTGACGTTGTGTGAACTTGAATGTGATAGGGATATCTTTCATATTTCAGGTTCAAATCCACATAAACGATGTCAACGACAATGCTCCGACTTGGCTATTCCCACCCGACCCCAATCTTGTTATAAACATGACCATATACGAGCCCGTCGGCCATCAGGTGGCCCAATTTAGAGCAACCGATCGCGACTACGCGGAGAACGGTGATGTGATTTACCAAATTGTGCATTTTTCCGTCCTCTCCTCCACCAACGCTGCTTTTGCCCTGACTGAAGGTGAAAACGCGGAGATAAAACCAAACAAAACCAGCGCAGCTCCTGACGGCAGTCCCTTCGAGCTCGATTCCTCCACTGGGGCCCTATATATAGCCCGTGCACTGAGCCTGCAGGATATGGGCTTGGTAAAGATAATTGTAGAGGCAAGTGATCTCGGCACGCCGCCCAAATCCACTCAC